ATCCCGTGCCACCCCGGCCGCCCGCCAGCCTCCGAGGGAGAAACTGAGACACGGAGAGAGAGAGAGAAAGAGAGAGAGAAAGGAGGAAAAAAAGGAAAAAAAAAAAAGAAAAGAAAAACCTAAAGAAAAAAAAGAAAAAAAAGTTACGTATTTTTAAAAGAGAGCACGGATTAAGACTTAAAAATAATAATAATAAAATAATAATAATTAAGTAGGACAGTCCAAAGTAGACTTTAAGGGAAACAAAGACCCCGGGAAGTTCTGTTCTGTTTAGTTTATAAATATATATATATTTTTATTTGTTCTTTTGTTTTGTTGTTTTGTTTGTCTTTTTTTTTTTTTCCTCCTCTCCTGGATATTTATTTCTTTGGTATTTTGAATAGATGTTTTAAATGATATGAACCGGACCTTCAAGAGCCTTAAAGAGTTTCTTTGATAATTTATTATCACGTGAACTGTACTCACAGGGGAAAAAATTATTTTGTGAGGCCAAACAAAACTGCGCAGAGTCTATTTTTCTACATGTCACGTGTGTCCTGACTTTCAGAAAGCAAAATTCTGTACTTTCCCATCTCTCCATTGCATTGCTCCTTCATTTCAGCAGGTCTAAAAAACAAGCAAACAAACAAACACACAACAAAAAGACAAACTTCATGGGGGTCCGTAAATTATATTTTTATACACAGAATTGTAAATTAGATTTTTTTGAGAGATCAATACTTAACTGAATCACATTTCGTTTTTTGAAATAGTGTAAAATATGAGAATATATTATTTTAATTTAAATAGTTTCAAATGTAATGTCATTTCCTGTATTGTTTTCCATGTTTTGCTTTGTAAAAACACCATTTGGCCACGTCCATGGAAGTCAAGACTGTTACACAAACTTTTTATTTGCAAAAACCGTAAGAAACTTTGTTATTTTTAACTTCAAAAAAAAAATTTATTAGAAAATAATATTTTTTAAAAAGCGCACATGGCGGCAATTCTGTGACGATGGAGACGGTAGTTTGTACAGAGGGGAGAAAAGGATGTTTTGCATTAATAAATTGAGAAATAACTGCTGTAAATTTACTAAAATGTATTTTTGAATATTTTGTAATAGTTTTAATAGTTTTATAGAAATAAAATGTGCCATGCACAGTCTGGTTAGTATATAATAACTAAGAGTTCCTGGTGCATCCCATTTTTTTTTTCCTTTTTGCTTATTGGTTTAGGAAACATGATGCCTAAAGGAGTGCCTGTTATTTTATTTAGATGTGTTGCTTATAATTTCTAATTTTGATACTTTAATTAAGGAAACGAATCCATCACATCCGCGCGTAACCTGGAATCTCTTGTACTAACAGTAGAACCTCACTTATTCGCACAAGCGACCGGGAGACGCGGTTTCCCTCCACCGGAGCCCCAGCTCCCTGTCCACACTCAGGCGATGCTCCCCTCTTCTAGCTCCAGCTCCGGCTCTGTGTCCACCTCCCGGTCTGGTCCGGAGACTACAGATGGCTCTTAAAGTTGATTTCTGAGAGCGTTAAATCAAGTTTGCCTTTTGAAGCATGGCAATCGGAAGGCAGGCAGCTGCCTTCACCTTGTGGCGGCACTGGGATTTTAATCGGCTTTAATGTGGGTGCCTGGAAGATGGAAATCTGGGGGAGAGACACTGCCTTTGGTGAATTAACTGGGATTCATGTGGCTGATGCTGGAAGAAGGAGATGGCCACCAGACTTCACTGGCCACCTTGCCTGAGTAACAATGTGGGGCTTGGGGCCACCAAGAAAAGAACAAAACACCCTTTGCAAAACAAAAAAAAGGGGATAAAAATTTGTTCATTTATTCTGAGAGACGTTCCTTAGCTGTACTGCATCAGAGTCCATCCTGAGCCATTGATGGGTGAACGTATTGGAGATGTGTTTTAGGAGCCGAGTGGTGGGGCCAGTGCTGCATCCCCTGCCTGGTCCCAGCCCCAGGCCCCCCAAGGGGCTCGTCCTCGATTGGTGCCGATGAGTGAGGTTCTGCTGCACCACATGCTCCTCCCCGGAGGGTTTCCAGGATCCCTTTAAAAATTTTGCAAAACATTGTGTGTGCGTGTGTGTGCGCGTCTGCGACAGGACTGTGCCGGAAGGGAGCTTTCCTTGAATGTCTTCTCACCTTTTCTTCAGTTTCCATTACTCACCAGTCTAGGACGTTCATCCATTGGGCAGCTTTTTGCTCCAGAGATGCAGCCATGTTCTCTGCCGGGATGGATGGCAGCTCCAGGTGGCCTCCTGGGATGTCCCTGCCTGGGGACACCTCCGGAGAGTGTAGACCATGCTCTCCCATGCTGAAAGCCTGGAAGCTTCCAGAGCGGTGCCAGGAGCTGGTGGCCAAGCCCTGGGCATGAGCACCCCATGTCAAGCCCTAACAGATGGATGTGGTCTCTCCTTCCTGGCAGCTTCTAGTCCAGGGCCACTTCCACCCTCCAAAGCCTGGACACGGCTGGGGTGGTGAGACTTCGATGAGACCATTGGCATGCTGCAGCACCCGTGTGGACCGCCAGGATAGCAACCAAGCCACCCTAATGCCCACACGTTGTGGAGCATCGCGGGGGAATGTGGACTGCCCGGTGGACTGCCGGGCACCTGCTGCCCACCTGGCTTGGACTCTGCCACCTCCGTGTCTTTGGGGTCTGCTGGTGCATTGGGGGCTGCAAATGTGGCTGGTTTGGGGCATATAAAAATGTGATTGTGGAACAATTGAGTCTCTGCTGTAAGAGTCTGGCCTTCATATGGTGATGTCTGGGCATCTGAGCTCTCTTACCCTCATCTCTGCAAAGCCTTTATACTCAAAGAATGACCGTGTTGGAGCCTACCTTCTCCAGAGGTCAGGCAGCGGAGGTGTTTAGGGATGCCTGTGATCAAACTTAAAGCCGTTGGCTTGGGGGCTTCAATCTAAATTGTAACTGAGATGAAAAAGACCGATTAGTCCAGAGTCCATGCTTGTGTACAGGGTAGGGTATGTGCCCCAGTAGGGACCATATCAGGCATTGCCGCATTTAATCTGCACTGAAAGGCTGAGACAAGCTCAGAGCTTTGCGGTGTGAGAGAAGCTAAGATGCTGTCTTAATACTAGGATCAACCTGTTTTGCCAAGCAAAGAAATGCTGTGCCGTGTTCTCCATCGCACGTGTTTCGAGTGACTGTATGCCTCCCTCTCACCATATATTTATTACATCTCCTCCTTCGGCGCCTCACATCCAGATCACCCCTCCATGGTATGCATTAGAAGTGCTTTGTTAGATGGACCGATCCAACCTATAGCTACAGCTCTCGTATGAAGGATGTACTGTCATAACATTGTGCAAAACGTCTAGGAGATGTCACCGTCCATTTTCAGGGTCCGAGTATGGCAATAGTTTGTATAAAATGTACACATTGTGGTGGCTACAGAATAGTTTATGACTAAATACATATCTATTACAGTTAAAATAATGTATAAGAATGTACTTGAAGCTATTATCCTTGTGCTCTGTTGTCTGAATAATTAAAGAAATTACAGAGACTTCCTGAAATGTCTGTTATGTGATGGCATTCCTACTGCACTCTCAGTTTTTCCCTTGGTGATATTGAAACGGGACACAGGGACCCCAGCACTCAGTCCTGTGGGATTTGGCATGGGACCCTTCAAACACACCGGGATTTGTGCCCATGCCGCTTCACATGATGGTGGCAACCTCCTCTTCTTCCACCTAGAGCCACGTAGACGGTCTATCATTTACTTGTGAAATACTGTGTGACTCTGCAAAGCCAACTCATTTGGCAGGGGAGACAGAGATGCCCTGAAGGTCAACCATCAGCGGCTGCCTGTCCTCCCCAGCCTCCCCCATCCAAACCAGCGTGAGAAGTGACCCTAATGAGTCTGGGGCTATTTTGTGTTTATCTAACTGGTCCTTCACGCAGTGCCCCGGTGCTCAGACACCAGGTAAACCCACCAAAGGGAAGCTTGGATGCGCCATCCACAGTGCAATTAAAATCCAAGCCAAGCACAGGAGTAAACCAGGTTTTTCCCATCCAGGTAGCCGTGCCGTGCCACAGCCCTTTGTGCCCTCACATGTGAAAGTTTGCTTAGCTATATCTTTCTATACGTGTACCCACACATATGTATACATATATAATATTATTATCCCTATATTAAGAGCTCAGCATAACCTACCAGGCTATAAATGTATTTATGTTGTCCCTCCCGAGCATTTCATATCACGCCGAGGCTGAGCAGGCGATGTAAATCAGCCCAGTTGGGTGATAACTGGGCAGCTGTTTTGCAACTCCAGTATGACATCTATTCCAATTACAGGGGGAAGGAAATCAGAAAGAGCATTTTATTTTACTCATTACTGCAAGCCATAAGGGACCACTAGATTTCCTAAGCTTCTGAAATCCTCTCTTCAGCAGTTTCTGCTTTAAAACTAGTGCAAACTTTACTAAAAAAATGGTCTATTTGCCAGGTACAGAACATTTCAGAGCTTTCAGTGGAGCAGTGTTAATGCAAACCTTGGACTATGCAAGCTGAAAGGGAAAAAATCATCTTTAAAAAGTGCATCTTTACAAGTGATGGGATTGCCTCGGATTTTGATGGGAGCAGGATGAGGCCTGCAGGCACTATTTATGCCAAGATTGCTAAATATAATTTTTAATACTTTGCATTTGGGTGTTCAGACTTACATATTTAAATAATTTTGGTTATTGGTTCAGGACTGAAAATCCAGGAAATATGAGTTTAATAATCCTGTCCTGGTTCCAGTGAAATCAAGAGTGGCATCCAGAGCTGATCTGGGTGCTGTTACCTTAAAGCCCAGTGCAGGACCCTGTATAACTTCTTTTTCTTCCATTTTTAAGTGAGAGCAAGCCAGCCCTTTGGACAAATATTACTGCAAATCAGGAGTGAAACCACAAGGTCAGGAAATCTGTTTGGGGTAAAAATATTTGTTTTGATGTCTTGTGACCTAAATGTGAAATAAATATTACATTTGCTCAGTTTGGTGTAAAGAAATGTCCGTTCCTATTACCGAGGAGGAGAGGTGACAAGGGATGCTCTGTGTGGCGTGACCGCAGAGGGTCCCTTGGCCACCAAACTCGCATCTGGCTGCTGCCCAAGGGCAGGAGGGCTCGGACGCAGGCAGGGGAGCAGGGATGCTGCGGGAGCACCGTGGGCTTTGTGCAGCTCTGCCCAGCTCGCTCGGCTCCGGGGACGGCATGGGGACCCCTTCCTCACCCCATTGCTGGGGCAATGCCTGCCTGGACCAGCTCTCTGGGACACCACGATATCTCCTTTGAAAAGGGGATGTGCTCACAGGAAGAATATACTTGGGAACACTGTATCGTTCCAAGTCTTGAGTCTTTTGATGGCATTCGCTGCAAAGGAATGGATGATAAATCTGTATGCAATTACAGCAACATCCTTTTGGTATCATGACACACAGGCTCTATGTCACAGACCTTCCATAGGGTTTCACAGGGTGGAGGAAGCTTATTTTATAACAGGGTACAGCTCAGGCTTTGGCTAGTTTGGAGCATTAAAATATTTCATGAGCTTTTTTTAAACAATTAAGGCTGGAAGGGGCCTCTGGTGGTCCCAGGTCCAAGCCTGGCCCATACAGTGCCAGCTTAGAGCAGGCTGCTGGAGGTCATCTTCTGTCAGGTCCCACATGTCTCCAAGGATGGAGAACCACCATCCCTCTGGGTAACTAGTATTGTTAAATGAACTACATTTTGCCTAAATATTGCAGTATCACGTTCCATCTACCAAGAATCTTCCTTAATATTATCTTTGTATTTCTTCTGGGGGGAAAGAGACCCAAGAGTTAAAACAAGATTGGTTTTAAGAAATCCCAGGTTCAAAATCTGGGACGTTCAGAGTTCCGCCAAGCTCTGCTTCTGCTCCTGCAGCCTGCACTGAACAGAGACAGCAGAACCATTACCCGCCCAGCTAACCTCTTCTCTGTAAGTCAGTCCCATCCTGTTTTCTACAGCAGTAAGCACTGGTTTTAATTATTAGACTGTGATGAGTGCAAATAAATACTAGTCTCAGGATTGTTCATGAACAATTCTCTTGGAATAGTCACCGGTTTGGTGTAAGCTTTGTTGGCTTTGCCAAATGATGCCCTTTCTACTCTGCAAAGTTTTTCTAGAAACAGGAGCGCAATAAATGTAGGGTATCAAACAAGTCTGTTCTGGCACAGTATCTGTATGAATAACCATTTTGTGCTAACACCGGTGGAAGCTATGGGGTTCACAGGCATCAGAAGGTCCAACTGCCATTCAAATATTTGCAAATAATGAATCATGTGATCCCACAAATAACAACAAACCAACCTGGTTGCTTTCATTGAGGAAAATTATTATGAATCACTGTGTACTATGGGCTCGATCCAACAACCACCAGCGTCAAAAGGAGTCTTTCCACAACTTCAAACAGGCAGGGAGCTGAGCTGTGTTTGCTCAGCTTTACTCGGTGTATCCCTAAGCTTTCACATTGCACA